ACGAGACTCCAAGACTTGTCTGTCTCCCTATTCGCCAGCTTGAGACACTGAAATCAAATATTGAACAGTGTTGATTTTTTCCCAAAAGTCTCTGAGATTTGTTTAACGGTTTCTCCGAATGAAAAGTTAGGAGGACTCATCGACAGAGGCGCGTCAGGGTGCCATTCGGGCTTTTGGTGTACAATTTATGTAACAATAGATGCACTTCCCACGCATCATCAGCTTCGGCGATTTTAACGCGAAAAATGCCTTTCCAGCATTCAAACCAACCACCGAAAGTCCCAGAAGACTTGGAATCGTAAACAAATTCAGTAATGCAAGCAGTAACTGCGTCTGAATACGTAGACTGTTCTTCTGAGGATTTTGGATCAGGAAACTGCAGAATGAGATTTTGCATCATGTATAGCATCATGTTCAGGTGAGCCGCCTCGAGATGGGCCTGTCGTTTTTGCAGGGGAGACAGTAATGTTTCCACGGAATTAGACATTTTGAGTTATTTGTCGCCAGTTTATTATGAACTTGTCATTAATTTTGATGGCCGCCTGTGCAAAAACGCCTTGATCGAGTCTTCAACTGAAGACTCAACAGCATGAGTGGAAATCCTTGTCATGGAACACAGGGCAGCCGGGGCCACAATAAACATTCTTCAACGACTGTCTAGTACGTTTGGTTGCCCCGAAACTTTGGTAGGTAATAATTGAGGGCAGTTGACATCAGCGCTTTCGCCCGATTGTGAAAGCAGTCCGATATCACCCACTTGCGTCCACCACCACATTACCCGCAGTCAAAAGTACGGGTAGATAGATTCGTTGACACATCCAAGCGGGGTCTCTGCAGCTCAAAAAGAGGGGACTACAGAAGTTCTCTAAATAACTTTGCCGAACTATCAGGCCTACCCAAATCCGGACACACTAACCGGTATCCCTCCGGCAGGAGCTTTGATCCAGAGAAAACTCCGTACAACATTCAACATAATTGGTCCGATATCATCTGTCAAAAGGCATCAGAATTTTAGTTATTAAACAGTCCACGCGAAATCAATGGAAAGAAAATTACACCGAGGTCATGGGGCAAAGCAACGGTCGTTCCAGCCGGGTAATGAGGTGCTGGCAAAGGACCACGGGAACAGTCAGGTAAAGTGGGGACTTGTATGTGGTTACCGAGAATATAGTGACATCGTCTGAGAGGTTTCGGTCTTATCAGACCCTTGGGAGCTTCACATCAATCAAATGAAACACACTGAATGCGCTGACGCGCAAAATGCAGGCCTAAATCTATCACTCAAACTACTACTGGACACATCCGGTCTGCCAAAACCAACGCGAGAGCCCATACTTTCGATGTCAAGACGGCCTCATTAACCACATAGACAATCGGGCCAAAGTAGAACACAAACGGTTTCGTCGCAAGTGAACCCGGGACTTAAATAGTATAATTCAGCACAAAGGAGGGAAGTGTTTAGATGGGCTGCCCTAGCTGACTCGCCCGCACGCCGCCAGACCGATTCATCCGTATACCGTGCGCGTGCTGATTTCGTGCCAGCTCCCGATAAGACTGAATGTCAGCCCAGCCAGACAGATTGGTCAGAAGTTTAGCCGACATGCTAACCTCTTATGGGCCCTATCTGATTAGTCCAGCTTCAGTCCAACCCTGGAAATTTGCCTATATTCCTTGTTTGCCTTAAATATGCTGTTAAAATACGTCAATAACTTCTTTCCCTCGCCCTTACTACTAAGTTCTCCTTTGGGAATTCGACTCACGACCTGCTATACCGGCGGCCATCGAGTCTAGTGGGAAATTCATAACATACTGCGCATAGGCAAACCGGACACATCCGCCAGAACAAGAAACTAACTCCTTAACTGTACAGTTTTACAAGACGTGCAAGACCAAAAGGACCTTGACCTTCAGGCAACGAATTCCTCAAAACTGTCAGCTCCGTACTCGAGAGTGGCAAAAACCCCAATATCCGTACTATACGTCAGCAAACGAAGATTTGTGGATTTTGACGAAGACATCTTTTACAAGATCTGTGCAAAATTAATGAGGCCGCATTTGGGATACGGCACACAAGCCTGGGGTCTGTGGACGACTGAAGATCCAAATGATCTTGAAAGGCCTGAAGATAGCCACAAAAATAGATAGGGGTCAGAGCCCCTGTCCCTATTCAACCGACCCAACAAATCTGAATAACTTTGTTTTGAGCTATGAACATCTGCACGAGGACCTCATACAAGCATTTCGAATTGTGAAGAGATCGCATTGCATTCTGGCCTTCGAGGAATCATCGAATCTACTATAAGGACCAATCTCCAAGGTCATTCACCGAAACTGCGTATTCATCAGGCATGACTGGATCTGCAGCAGTTCTCCTTTCTTGTCAGAGTGGCCAAAACATAGCATGCCCTACCCGAGGGCGTTCTGATGTTGCAGTCGATGAAAAACTTTAAAAGGAACCTTGACACATTTATTTTCCGAACTTATCGAAAACGAAAGAGAGATCGAACTTAAACCACGAGACTCACGCCCAATTTTTATATCGTTATGGGCCCATTGGAATTATTTCAGCTTACATTCTTGCTATGCATACAGCAGTCTTTTTAAGTTGTAAATAGAGCACTCGAATGAAATGATACCGACAAAAACAAGGGAGACCGGAATAGCCATTTCTGGCTTATTAGTCGTCGCCAGCCATTCGTACTCATCCCCAAGGCAACACGGAACGAGCATGTTCCATAACCTGATTGGTGAGCGCCGTTCTGTCATAAAAGTACTCAAATGTCCATGCCTATTCCTTTCAGTAAACTGAACTGAAGTGAAGGGACGTTTGATGCGTTCATAGAATTCCAGAATACTTAAATTGACTGCAAATCACCTTTGTGCATCTGAAGATCATGGATATAAACACATGGCATAGATACGGTATGTCAGGTGACAAACATGATTGTTGGAATGAATTAGGAAAGGTAACGAAGGATGCAAGATGAGCAGCATTGGAAGGGAGACGTACTTGCAAAAATGCCAATAGCCTAAGAGCAGGAAAAGGATATAAGGAAGGAAAAAATGTCAAGCATTATATGCTGCAAACTGCATGTATTGATGAAGAAGTATATCAAGAGGACTTAATACCATTCCAAGTTGTTTAAAGCCTGCCATATTTGAGGCGAAATCACCTATCGTAAACGTATCACCCACCTCTCTCTAGGATACTGGGCACTTTGCTGTTCACGCTGTTGATTATGTATGACACCATATTACCGATGACTTGTCACCAACCATGTAGTTTACAACCTATATAAAATTCTCGGTTTGAGCCTGTAGACCTTGAATAAATCAATCTACTCCAGCTTCGTAGACAATTTCTGAGGAAATTAAAAAGCGACAATTTCTAGTTGGAGTATCTACCAGAAAAACGCACGGGGAATGCTGGGGGACCCACTGACGAGCCGTAGCCCTCGCAGCTGCGCCATGCAGCGGCAGAACATCGGGGAAACACGCGGTATGGGCATTTGACTAGTATCTGTGCTGTTAGTATGGTATCACCTTAACCTAAAGCATACTACTAGCTGTCTGTCGACAGTTAATGAATATTACGCTGTTACCCGCTGTGGCTGACGGACTTTGGCCCAAATATTCATATAAAAATTTTCGGTCTGAGCATTTAGACCTTGAATAAACAGGTATACTTCAACTTCGTAGATAATTTCTGAGGAAATTAAAAAGTGACTATCATGAAGTGTTCATTTTCCCATACACAACTTAATAATTTTCGTAGTATTCAAGTATGGGTGGCAATTTCTAATGGAATTGGAGGTCCCACATTTGAACAACACCACGAATTATTCTTTCATTCTTCCGTGTTGCTTTGCTTCGGCATTGCTCATGCTGCTTCGATGTCCTAGAATAACGTGAATACCACCGGAGTGTGTAAACAACAATTCATCTTTCCCCATAATAGGCGCCAATGTACTTTTCTGCGGCAGGTTGCCAAACATATGTAAAGTCATCTCTTTTGTGTTACTAAAAGGCATCACCCATTGCCTCGATCCTCCTGTCTCCCCTAGTGTTTTGCCATCCAGTGCATATCTGCGACGTTAGAATATTGCAGGTCCGTGGAGGAAAGTGAACTACTGTTTCAGAGTCTTTGTGTTCGAATGCGGACCAATTAGGTCCGAAATATTTTTCGCTGACTTCTCGAAGTCTACAGGCTGCATTTGGTTTCTCGTTCGCATGTGCCTCCTAATTTTGCTGTCCTGCCCAGTGGTAACTGTCGAAATCCCAGCCAAGAATCGTTTTGATACAAAATTTAAAAATACAAGCTAAGCAGACCTTAGCAGGTCTTGCTCTACATACATTACGTTAGCGATAGCTAACTGGTTATGGCCTGACAAGCAGCATCCTTACTGGGCCAAGGAGAAACCGAGAGATGGGTTTTTCGCACTCATTGCAATAATCGTTGACGATGATGTACGCGGCCCACGCCTGGGAAATATGATAAAAAACATCGAAGGCGCAATGATAGAGAACGAACGAAAAGTTTGGAAAAAAATTAACTAGGGGGCAGATTTTACTAGGCTAAAATTCAAGCGGAAAGGGTGAAATAAGGCTTGGGAGCCTCCGCCACTTCTGGGGGGTGCTGCACCTAAGCTGCGAAGTTAAGATGGATTGTACAGCTGAGTTCTCTCACTCGTTTTGCCAACAAACCTTCCCAAATTTCAATGCTTTTAACGAAGCTCTTCTGCTCTTCCAAAAGTCCTCTGGGACTGCATTTAAGCTCTTGTCCTCCACACTTTTTCCCGAGGGTACCCTTGAAAGAAAACTTATGAACTATAGATACATGCGATATGTCTGTATATTCCACAAAAAGGCAGACAAATTGACAAAAGACAAGTATACGATATTTCTTAATAATTATATTAGTGTTGGTTGCCCCGCACGGTTCAGCGTAGGCACACGCCATGGATCCCTGCACATTGTTAAGTACGATATGCTACACAACCATGACAGAGTTGATGCCGACAAACTTGGCCAATCGAGTTCTGAGATTGTTGAAATTCCATACGGTACATACCCTTTGCATTCTATTTTTGGAAGCTTCTGACGAGGGTGTGGACTGTTCGTCCGATTTTCAAAGAATATTCCAGTCTCTCTCGTTTGCCTCGTTCTCTGAGTTGCAAACCAAAATTGAGGAATTTCAGAGGGTAATACTGTATTTTAGATCCTATTAAATAAGGTTACGGGCTCTTTGTATGCTCGACGGAACACCAAGCGCTTTCCCGTTGGATCGGCAGAATCCAAGTCCTTGGTTTATAGGTCATTTGCATACGAGTGTTACCACTATGGCAGCCACAAAAGTGGTTCCATGATGCAGCGAAATAGGAGGTACCCCGGATTTATTTCTTTATTTCCATGTTTTAGATCAGCAAAGATCGGTTGTCGGTCCAAGATCTACGTTAGTTGTTCCAGAAATATGCTCAAAATTGTTCGGTACGATGTGCGGCACAATCATGGAGTGACGCCAGATGAGGCGAGACTTTACCCTCGGAATCGGCGCTTGACGCAGTCCCAACTGGCGGTTGTAGAAGATCTTTTAGAGACTACTCAGGAAAATAACGTCGTAAAAGAATTCATTGAGAGTATGTCTTTATCCTTTAAACTCGTTCCTCTAGCCAATTTCGATACATCGGTCACTATGAGCGATGTGAGGAATTTGAGAACGAAAATCAAAGTGTCGAGAGAGCAGATTTCTCATGAATTCATGATCTCCAAACTCCATCCCCGTCTGGATGAACTCCAGTGTTTGACAACTTCTGGTAACCGATCACAATTCCTCAGGAGGCTTCATTGCTTGACAAATTTGATTGAGTTTTGGCGTAACGGTGTAGATGTTGATATCGTCCCTCGCAGTAATTCAAACGACAACGTATGTGGTTATGAGGGCGCCAATGCAGGTGATCCTCAATCGGCTTCGACTTTCGGTAATACCCCAACGGGCAGGCGCGTACACGACATGCAAGAATCTCCGGGAACCATGCGATTTAATAGTTTCCCAGAAAACTCAACGTGCGAATTCGACAAAGAAGACGATGAATATGACCTTAAGGCTTTTGATAACCGCAGACTAGGATTTGCAAATCTTCGGAATGCATGGCCCTAGCTTCGATCCTAAATATGCAAAGTGTGCATCCTCCGATCCACTATAAGCCTCCAATTCACGAGCCACCGTTCCCTGAAGCTTAAGTGGATCAAAGGCAGTGTGCTCACTGCCAATATTGCGATATACCTCTATGCCCATTGTCCTTGATATCTCCCTATCCACTGTTAAAGTCTTCACTGCCCTCCTGGGAGTTGCATGTAAAGATTGTATAAATCCCTTCGTTTTAGTGACTTCTTTTGGCTTTATCAGATTTGAGGGTTTCAAAGAAATGTTCATGGCCCATATTCAAGTGGTAATCTGTAATGGTATTTTTTGTCACGAAATAATGTCTTTTATGTCCACCAGCTACCTAGGTCTCTAATAAGTCAACACTAATACAGATGCAGAGACACATAATTCGAGTTCTATTCAGGTTGGGTAATCTCAAGGCCCAGAATTGGTTGATATAAGGCCTGGCGGTTTCACCTGACTACACATGGCAAACTCCGTGGTCCGAAATTGAGGACCATCGTGAGTCTCTAATTGGATAATCAGTACGATTCGTAATTTCCTCTAAATGGCAAAAGTTAATTAACTTATACTGCGCCATTCTCTCTGCTCCCCTTCTCCGCTGCGCATCAACTCTAGCAGGCATAAATGGCCTCGTCGAGTTACCTGACTTACTGCTCACCCCTCTCGACTTCTGCTTTCATTACCAACGGAGAAACTCCAACACTTGAATTACTAGCCAAACACAAGCCTGATGCTTTGAGGTGGGAGGTCAGGAGTCGATCTTCCTAGGAGAATTTCCTGTTGAAGATGACGGGTGATCGTCTGCTTTGTCCTGGTTGTTACCATATCATCCATAGGAGTAGGTGACATATTCTTGGGATGAAGAGATGTCTTATTTAATAATGTATAATCGACTCTTGTCAGACAACTCGGTTCAGTCCGGGGGACACATCATGCATTTTTACGGATGGGACGTATAATGCAGATACACACAGCCCCGGGAAGACTGAGCGCCGGACGTCTGGTCCAACAAACTTCACGCTAAGAAGGTGTATTTACGACTTTGAGCGGTGATCCGGAAAGCGCCTAGGTTTGCCGGTCCAAACCGTGCTCTTTCCGTGTGAGTTAGAGGCATTAGTTGATCTTCGGGATGACTGTATAACATTTGCGGATCGGCGAGACAGTAGATGGCATTTCTTCATACCGGCGAGGTCCTTTGTAAGGATGCAGTGTGCTGTGTCCCATTTAAATGCAAACACAGTCGAAGTAGACTCGAAAGTAAATATCTTCCCAAGGAACATGACCACTTCATGCTTCGCGGTCGAAAACATTCGTCTGGTCGCGGTAGACTGGTGCGCAGCTTCTGCTGCTTGGAGTGCTACAACTACCGGGCCATGTGTATCTGTTGAAATCGGCAGGGAGATCCGCCAGAATACCAAGGTGCTAGCGCATGAGGCAGTTTTCTGTAAATGTGAGGGATAGCTCGTACACCTGAAAGATGCTCATAGACTGAAAGCACCTAGTTGATGGCGCATACACTCTGTTAACCGAATCCCTTTGAGTCGCCGACCAAGGTAGTTCTGGCCACGCTGTCCTAGGGGTAAGACGGTCCGGGATGTCATTTGTCCATACCCAGCTGGCGACGGCCTCTAGGTGCCATAGTGGGGACATGGGTGGACATAGTGAGGACTGACTTCGAATAGAGCTCTGGCTCTGCTTGACTGACTTTGTTCGGGAGTTTCCTGTCGGCTGATTCATGATGTGGACCCACAGCGTGGCGTCAGCTGTTTCGGAAATAATGAGTGCCGCGTTGTTATTGATGAGTGCTGTTTTCACCGGGGGTTGTGGCGAGGCTCGAGCTGTTACGTACAGAAGTAATCCCTAGTAGGCCGATGTCGTGCCTGAAAGTCCTGGAATAGGGATGGCTTAATGGATGCTTTTGGGGGCTCTTAGTATGAATTCTCGATTCGCGTTACGAAGTGCGCGCAGGTGTATGGTCAGACCAGCGCGTGACTGCAAACCGAGGCTATAGTAAGGACAAGCCACTGCTCGCGATCGGCGTAGGCGTTGCCATGAGTGGGAAAGTACCTTAGGACGATGACTGATTGAGAAGTGCGGACGAACCAATTGTGTGTGGCAGCGACTTCTTAGAAGATGGTAATGCCCCAGGGAGTGACACATGGGCTGGAAGCGATTTCAATGCGACAGGTGAGTAGGGGCCTGACAAAGTCCGTCTGGGCCTCGCACATGCGTCGGCAGTGCGAGCATATCGGAAGGAGCTGGATATTAGGGGTGCCTGTCTTCAGAAGTCAAGTTTTCTATGCCTTCGAATTTGCATTGGTCTCCTTTGCGCGATTACCTTGGAGGGTCGCCGCGTGTCGATTTGAAGCAAGGGTTGCCTAGCTGACCTGATTTATTCCGAGGTACTCAGGCGAATTTCTTAACTTGTAACGCCACCTTCGGCATCCCTGCTAATGAGTCTCAAAAGTAATGGCGACATTTAAGTGGTTTTAACGGGCGGTCATTAGTCCAATTCACGACGTGACTGATTAATCGAAATTTGAGTTTCTTCAGCATTGAAAACGGGCTGGACACGCTAAGACAGCGGCACTCGGATTCCCCCTCTGCCACTACATTTGCAGTGAGCTTACGTAACAGTGGTCAAGTTTACTTGTTTATCCTAATTAGAGTGTCCCAGTCTTCGCGCCATAGGGAAGGGCTGTTGCGAATGCAGCCCATGCATCTTCAGCCTGGTGCTCAGAAGAATACCCTGGAGATTCTGCATGGAGGATTAGTGCCTGATGAAGACTCGGGCGACTTAGGAGGTGTGGGTCGCAATTTCGTCGATACTGATTCTTGGGATAATGCTTCAAAGACAGGACCGCTCGCCCACGGCGGAGAGGCGGTTTTCGCCGATGATTAGGGGTTCCGGGGATGGTGTCAGGTTATGCAGAAAAGCTTTTTTGCTTATTGGTGATTAGTCCAAAGTTGACGCGAAGGAGTCCAGACTTTGCTGCACATACCCTTAGTTGTGTTCGGTCCGAAACCGCCGAGGAAGAGGTCGTGACAGTGTGCATACGGAGGTTGCGGAACTTTCTTATAGGTCTATTGGTTAATGTAAGTTTCCGCCCGCTGCTTACTACAGGCGCCAATCAGCATTGTAAGAAACATGAGGCCGAAGAATGTTGAGGTAGTTACGAAACTCCATCTCACGCTATTTGCTACGGTTAGTGGTATTGAGGTTGATTCATCGTCCATGAGACGCGACATCGTGCCGCCGTGAAGTTGCGTGACAATCAGAGCGAACCGTCCCGAACATTCAGATTTTATCAGGACTTTCCCAAGTCCGTTTCGATCCACGGTGTAAAAGGTCTTGGGGAGACCTAAGAAAGTAAAGCAGAGGACGATTCCTGCTTTCTGGTATTTTTCCTGTAGTTGCCGCGCTGCGAATGCCATTTCGGTCGCTCCACGACGTTTCTTGAATCCATACTAAGTCACTGAGGGAATTTATTGTTCCACGTCCCTAGTTAACCCGTTGAAAAGAATGCGAGTGACGACCTTGCCAGCAGCGCTGAAAAGGGCGACCCCACTACGGAGATAGCATATTGTAAGGTTCCACTTTTGCTTAGAGGCATGGACAATGGTGGCGCCCTTGAGGGTCCGTTGGGTCCTTCCATGTTCCCACATCTGGAACAGCGAAGTAGACTTGTATATAAGATGGCGACCGACGCATTTGTGTACCCATGATGGTACAGAGCCTGCGCTCGGAGTTTGTCCGATAGAAATCTGCAGCACCGACCTAATCGTATCCTGCAAAAACGGTGGACGGTTAAGGTCAGATTCCCACTTGAAGAAGTTTGTTAATAGCCCCCTCACGAAATAAGGATGAACGATAGTTGACGCTTCTGAAGTGAACGGCCAAAAGATACATGATTTCAGACTTCCCTGATAGATGGCAGTTCCGTCCAAAATTACCGAGGGCGGGACTGCAGCAGGCTGGGGTCGCAGGCCGTTGTGATTAGTGTTCTTCATTTCCCCACGGTCCTTGCATTTCGTCTGTCACTTGTTTTGCATCTACAGCAGCACCTGCTGCAGGTGGCGTTGGCACCGAGAAGAGGTTGTTTCGTTTGCGGCGTTGCAACTGTTTGTGAAGCGGGCTCTCCTCAAGGAGCTGAGGCTGTATTTCTGCGTCGTCGTTGGACCAGGTTTGACATTTTAGGCATTTAGACCCGAAAATGTCGATGGCGGGGGCGCGGATGGCGTCACAAGGTTCGCTTCATGTCTTCACAACAACACCGTTCCCTAAGACCTGGGCATGCTACGGGTTTTCGCTATATATGTCGGTGAGATTCATATCTGCCCTCAACATGGTACACGTACTGCAGCAGCCAGTTTCCTTAATGCTACTCTACCCTGAGTTCCTCCTCGCGGTTGAATTTGCAACTCCATTTTCCAGAAAACTAGACAATGTTCGATTCAGCATTCGACACCACATACCGTCCTTGCCACCAGCGAGTCACGGTGACCTCGCCTCCTGATAGACACGTAATTCAGTAGCTGTTGGAAACTTGAACAAGAGTGCAACCGCGGGAGCTACTTTTTAATCGAAAGGGCAAAAGACAGCCTTGGTCATAGGCAGATTGCGTTCTGCGCAGGTCCCCAGCCGTAGAAGTTTGCTGATACTGCAGCAGTTGGTGTCCGAGATGGCTGAGACCAACTTGCGCATCATCCGTCTATCCCTAATCTCATGATCAAACGGTCAGATTGCGTCAAGACAGCTAGCTTAGATATCCTAAACGTGTGTCACAACATGGGTTCATTCCTATGGTTAAGTCATATAGTCGAAGAGGTGACCAATGTGGCTGCTGCGACGCCACAGATGAGGATTGAGTGAATATCAAAACCGAGCCAAGAGACCACCACACGCACCGAAGCTCATGGAGTTACCTGACTCCCTTCCTCGCAGTGTCATACTTCAAACACTTTACACCGCATCAGCAGTAATACCAGGCGTCCAAGCACCACATTCCCACAGGTAAATGTGGTCAAATCCATGTTAAGGGAGCACCCTGCGCTCGTGCGGACAGTACATTCTACGCGCATTTTCAGTAATCGTGGCATAACCGAGAGCTGTCCATTGCCATCCCTCCCACCGAAAACGGCAAATTCGAGGTCGTTAATATGCGTTTATGGCGAAATTGCTGTTTGTCAGATCACAGTTTCAAGCAGGAAAAAGACACGCTCGTAAGTGGACTGTGCATTTGGTCAGCCGTAAAGGCCGTCTACGCAACTTAACCGTTTCTACGTCAAAAGAATGGGCACAAATGCACGGTTTAGTTAATAGTGAAAACTGTACAGAGCACATCGAACAAGCGAGGTCGAACATCTAGTGTTAGACACTGGGACTCAGACAACAAAATAAACTTTACAAAGTGAGTAGCATTATAATCAGCGATGTATTCATCGGTGGTCCTCTTCACATAGGGTCCATGTGCTATTAAGGTTTTTGAAATCTGTTGTTTCATACTTTATATCCTTCGGAAGGCGATCGTGCCTGTGGTAGTGGGTCACATTGTCCACCAGCGCCATTCTACGCTGGACAGCCTGCTCCACAACGTATGCCTCTGACCCACTTTGGTTATTAAAGTAGACGCTAGTGGACGTCGTCTCGTCGTCAGAATTCAGTAAACTAGAGGAGTCCGCTTCAGCACATTCGAAGGCAGCCACTTCTGGACAGTGATCTGGTGAAGACACCATAACGCCGGAAATTTCATTGTCCTCGTTACGCCATCTGCTTGCGAGGGCCGCGATGTCGTCAATGCGGCCCCAGAACCGATCGCTGTTGGAGGACATAGCAAGTTGTTCCAGTTGTTGAAGCTGGGGATTAATATGCGAAAACATGTCCTCCTGGGTGAGTTCAGTCGGTGGTTCAGGATGAGCTTTGAACCTCCGTTTTAAGTTTTTTACATCATACAGGGTCACTGTCATGTTGAAGTTGTCTGTACAGCAAAAGATATTAGTGCGTGGAGAATGAGGGTAAGCTGACCTTCAATATAGTCTTTGATGACGTGATTTTCCGGATGAGACTTCATTAATTCCCTGACGGCCATTTCTTGGTTTTTATCTAGTCGCCTATTCTTTGGATATAGGCGGGCTGATTGCTGAGTAACTTCGTGATTGTGACGCACTTCGTAGCGCATGACCGTGAGTTCTTGGTCCTTGCAGTAGATGCTGATTCTTGAACGACAACCAATCTTAGCTGTCCTAAATGTAAATACCAAAAGCAAAAAGTGTCTACGTACCGCTGATTTGGACGTAATCTTGCTAGACTTTTACGAGTTCCATAATGATAGCATTCAAAGACAAGTGACCGATAAACTAAGGTCTTTCTCTCGGGACGGTCATCAGGAAAGCGCTTGGTACTCCGCATGACATAAAGACTGCCGGTATACTTGAACGGTCACCAAAAACAGAAGATAAGAAATACCTTTTGAAACTCCTCCATTTTAGCCTGTAGCTCATGAAAGGAAGAGAAGCGCATGGGATGCATAATCTGCAGAAACTGAGGTGAAAGATCAGCGGCGGCATTTGTTGACTCGCCTTAAACCATAGTCAGATGAAAATAAAAACGACTTACCCAAACTATCAGCAACTAGATTGGGTTGCTTTTCAAATATCCACCCGAGATATTTGTCGTGATTGTGTCGCATATCGTACCGCACGACGCGCAGCGAGCCATGTCGGTAACGGATGGCGAAGCATGCTGCACAAAGAGTCCCGCATGCTCTAGGAACTTAGTATCAAAGTGGAAACTCCAAAACCTTTGACCGGCTCTAGATGCAGGGTTTCCTCGAAGCGAGCAAGCAAACTCTACGGCTCTGTAAATGAAAAGCTTCCTTTCAAGGGCTTCTTCGGGAAAACATTTTGACCTTCTTTTTGTATACCGTGTGCATGTTATCTACACACAAAAGTGTCACAAAACGACAAAATACCTCTTCGAATTCTTTCAGGGCTCTGTTGAACGAATCGAAGGACGCGAAGCAGGAAGAACCAAGATGGTTGATAAATTGCTCAGTGCAGTCCATTGAACAGAATCACTTGGTCCCCAAACGGCCTGCTATGTTCTATTATTTGCCAACAGTTTTCTGGCAAACTGGGAGGGAAATACAGTAAACAAGAAATATGGTAACGGCAAGTTTTATTTGGACAACAACATGGGCTGATGTGATACAGGTGATCCCAATTTATCTAAATATAAGAGGCGACCTAGTGGTGAGGACATCTGTGGCTGTAGCCGCTTAGGAAGCTGATACTCGTCCAGCATGTAGCGTATTCACTCTAGTCATGAATCCAAGGATAAAAATCAAGAGTTTGACCGAGCACCTTAGAGAGTAAGTAGACACAATCCATTGGCTGTAGTGCGACAGTGACAACGGGGCAAGGGGTGTCTCGGACGTCCTACTCCGGAAAACGGCTTAGTCCGATTTTGGTATATAGTGGTTTCCAACTTCCCACGTGTCGCGAACACGCCGTGGTCGGGTAACATAGATTTCGGTCTCAGGGAGTTCGCGATGTGAATAGCGGCTTTACTGCTGACAACTCGGTCAAAGTCGAGCGTTGGCCTGAGCACTTTGAGCACCATCTCAACGTCGATGCCCAACCCACCACGTCCTTGTTTTCCTCTGCAACGGAGTTTCTTCCCTCTCCAACCTACACAGTGCCATGCGACCTCCTTCTGACGGAGAAGTCGCCGATGCCATACGAAGGTTACGCAGCAACAAGGCATCCGCAGAAGACGGTATATCCGCTGAAATCTACAAGTCTTGTGTCAACACTCTGGCGCCCTGGCCCCATGAGGTGATTGAACGAGCGTGGAGAGACGAGGTTGTTCCTGATGACTGGGGCTTAGGCATCCTTGTACCTATCCTCAAGAAGGGAGATAAGACGAGATGCGAGAACTACCGCGGCATAAGTCTCATCGACGTTGCTGCGACGGTCTTCGCTATTGCTCTCCTCAGGCGATTCCAAGCTGTGTGTGACTCCAGGACGAGGCCCATCCAAGCCGGACTTTGTACTGGACGTGGATGTGCGGACCTGATATTCACACTGAGGTGCATTCTCGAATTTCGCAATAGCTACCAGCAACTGACGGTCGTCTACTACGTCGATTTTGTCGCGTTCGATTCCATCCATCGTGGGGCCCCTATGGCGGATAATGGCACTAGGTTGCGTACCGCCAAAAAATCATCGTCATGATCGAGACCTATTGTCGCTCCACCACTGCGCGAGTTCTGGTCCACAAAAATACTTCCCAACCGTTCGGTATTCGGTCTGGCGTTCGACGGGGCTGTATTCTGTAGCCCATTCGGTCCAATTATGCTATTTATTGGATTCTCGGAGGGGCCACGCACGAAGGTGACAGTATTGAGTTTGGGCACGGACACCGACTGAGTAATCTCGACTATGCCGATGAAATTGCCTTACTTGCTTCAGGTTTTGGTGATCTGAAGCCTGTGGTGTTACGGATGACCAAGGTCGCTCAACTGATCGGTTTGTTCATGACCGCTGGGAAGACTAAAGTTTTTTCAAGCTGCATCCCTGACCAGGAGAAAGCATCTCTGGGGATTAATGGCTATCAGCTTGAAGAAGTAGACAGTTGTAGATACCTCGGGGCGAGTCTGCTGCCGAATGAACGGAGTAAGGAAGGCATTGTCTCCTGATTCGATGCTGCCTGACGGGTTTTCTGAAGCCAAGAAAATGCTTATCGATCCAAAGCGACATCCCTATCTCCACTAAGATTCGCGTGTACCGGGCATATGTCCGGTCTGTCCTTTTCCACGGTTGTGGATGCAGGGCTGTCCGCGTGAGGAACGAGCAAAAACTGGAGATATTTGGCCACCACTACTTGAGGACCATCCTTCAAGTAAAGTGCACCGACTTCGTCTCAAGCGAGACAGTCCGCACTCGCTACGACAGCATCATAAAGATAACCCAGACCGTCCAAGAAAGACGATTTAGGTGGTTTGAGCATATTCTTCGTCGTCCACTTCAGGAGCTCAGCGTTACTGCCATCGATCAGGCAACGTTACCGCATTAAGGACGTCGAAGAGGGGGTTAACTCAGAATCTAGCTCGACACAGTCCGTCAAGACGTGGAGGTGGTTCTTGGACCTTCGGTATTAGGTCTCCGTCATTGACGAAGATAATTGGTTGAACTGTCCGGATCTCCTGCCGCGGATTGTCACGCGTCAAGAGGTACAGTTCGGGACATCATCGAGGCCGGTTAGATCAGACATGATCGCAGCCTTACCAAGTACAAGTAGTATGAATTGATACTAAACGGCGAGTGTGACCGTGCGTTCTGATCTATACAAGCGTGGTCATAATGACTTACGAGGACATCCATCCATAACAGTAACTTGATGACCAACATCTATCCTGCTTAATGCTTCAAGCGTTTTGACACAGTCCCATGCAAAGCATGCTAAAGCATGCAGTAAGGAAGTCTCCTGGAGAGGTCGGTAGGTGACGGGTTAAGGAGGAAGAACAAAACCGATTTCTTGGTACTGCATTTCCTAAAGACCTCAATCAAATGGACGAAGGAATGAGAACAGGACGGATGACAATACACAAACCAACGCAGAAAAAGTCACGCGCAGCACACGAACGTGATGCTATATGAGGGTTCCAAACAGGCGCAAAAATCCATAGGTACCTTGGCAGAAGCCAGAACGCATTGCCGCTGATATGTATCCGGGTGCAGTGAACAGGCGAACTTTAGCGCCAGCGTAGGGATTACTAAAGAGGAATCTGAACTACGGCACCCTGGCTGTGATGCATACATTAACTCAACCTGAGTCCCAAACACAAGCGTGATCTCTTGCTCAACAAAGGGTGGTAAATGTTCGTCAAGCGTAGCAACCAAAACATGTTCGATGGGTTACGAACAAAATACTCCACCTACAGCCAGACCGTAAAAGGTAATTTATTGTATCGACAGTTGTCTCATGTCCGGGAATACGGTCACCACCAACTGGCCTGCTGAAGGTTACTACCATATCCGGATAACTTCTAGGACAAGACTTACCTTGAGAAAATGATTATGGTAAGGATTTTAATGAGCCTGTTTAACTCGGAAAAACACAACCACTTGTAGAAGGTTCTCTCTGTGATTTAACACAATAGATTTGCGAGGATCAATGCGGAAAATTTAACAAGCCACTTAGGGTTTGTCTCTGGTAGTGGTCCGGTGCTAGTCCCTTGGGGCACAATCAGGTTTGGTTTTACGTTTGGAAAGTCGGTCTAGAACACGCTGCTGGGTGGACTTATGAAAAGAATTGTCAAGCAGAACATTTGCGGTCACCGCATGTACCGATACGCCTAAGAAGAGCAGTCATCTTTCTATTATTTTTCAATAGCTACGAAAGTGACTGAAGCGCTGCTAGGCCTGGCTTTGCTATTTCGCAATATTTTAAGAAAGTACGTTCTGCTTCGTTTTATCGGGGTATGGGTCATGTCCGTCATTACTTGCACAATTACACAGATTTATAGGTGTTGGCCCCGCATAAGGGCAGCTAAATCTTGCATGTCATTGAGTGTTGAGAGCTATCTACAGAAAACCATCCTTAATCGGTCATTGAGCTCTGACTATCACCTTTGAATCGAGAATGGGTAGGTGTTTTCGAAAGAATGCGATCAGCTGCTAGGCCAGTGTTCTCTTACAGGATCAAAGCTTGTTCGTGCATTCGGGAAACAACCGCACGCGGCAATTTAATGTTCGTATATCAGCAAATCTTTGGTAACACGGTACTAGCCTCTGTCCAGTCCTGCACTAGCAGATCAGATTTGAGGGCTTGTATGTGGCAAGTGATCTGATTGACTGACTGCCCAGTCGGTCACTTGCGAATTTATCGCACAGAGACTGGGGAACCAGTGCCTGGAGCACCAGCATACACTCACCGCATCGGCCTTCACTGTCCACTCACATTCATTCACCGCATGGGCCTATTTGGTCACATGCTAATCCACGATAGCGGAATTCACCGACATATCGACATACCTAGCACATCTCGCACATCCACTAACTGTCCCATTGCTAGCCCAAAAAATCCCCATAATTCAAGGCACTCAGCACCACCGTGACCAACTATGCAACTTCCGACCTATCCTGCCCACACTACCACCGCACATTCACTTCACGCATCGGCCTTCGCAGGGGTCTATTCGGCCATATGCGTACTCATGAAAAACTGCGGAAGAACATCGCTGGCTATACCATACCACTACATCTCTCCTCATTGTACCTACAACACACATGAGTACACCCAAAATCACACAACACACGCACGTAATTGGCACCCCCACGTAGGTGGAAAGTGTGTCTTTCGACTCCTTTTTCATGTGGTTCCTCTGGTAAACGCGTGATCAAGGAGTAGCCCGGTCGCCTGGCGGCGGGCTTGTCCTACGATCGGTCGAAGTTCTTCAGCAGTCTTAGCAGACACTGTCCGTCACAGCGATTCTTTAGTCTGACTGCAGTAAATCTACACGCTCTCTCGGACGAGTTGGAAGGAGGGACCGGCAAGTTCATCCAGCGCTCAGCCAGCGCTCTAGCCTGGGGCATTTCGCACACGCACGTACTTAAACATCGATCGCGCGCGTGGCGCCAGATCGACGGCTAGTCCCCCTTGCACATGTGCGTCAGCCTGATCGCACATCTCATACTGTGGAGTTTGCGTCCGAGGCATGCAGTGAGTACGTTGTAAGTGGCTGGAGTCGGGTGCCTTGTCAAGCCGTCTACGTCAGGAAGTGTCGAAATCGATTATGCAAGCTCACTCTAGCTGTAGGGTAGTGCCGTGAGACATTAATGTGTCCTGGAGGTGGGCGTCAGACCTAACGTGCAAAATGGATGGGGCTACGCGTTAGGGAGGGTCCCCTCCCCAAATGCCACACCCGGGTGTGACAGTGAAGTTCATTTCCTCGCGAAGGCTAAGCGCCGTCAACCAATTAGATTACTAGGCGTACATTGCTCACAAGTCAAATCGGCCAGCAGATGTCTAACCCCGGACGCCAAAATGCTTTCGGAGTAC